AAAAGAAGCCTACACATGGGGACTTACCCTTTCTCCCTACAAAAGGTAAGCAGGATGAACTTGGGAATAAGGGGCTCTTGCTCTGCAGCCTTTGAAGTTTAAATGAACATGAAGGATGGCCCTGCACAAGGAACTATGGGAAACGATCCAGGCACCAAAAGGGCTTTTCTGCAAGAACAGAAGCCAAGATGGCCCTTCTCCCAGATGTCCTTTGATGCCTGTGCATTGGCAGGTCCCCAGTTTCCACAGCTACCCTGCCACACATCAGTGTAAGAAGGTGATGGTAGAGTCCCTGTGTGTCCCATATCCCTCATGTACCTCTTAGCAGACCCCACTCTCCTGGTCCCTTGCTGTCCTGGCCAGATGCACTGGGCCTGGTGTTCTGGAAGCCAGGGGATGAGCTTGTAGCTTTATAAGTACAGCCATATGAACTATATAGTCTTTGTCCAAGGGCAAAGGAAATGGCTCAAGATCAGCCTTCCTGCTGGACCAGGGGCCCAACATCCGCTACCTCTGTCAGCCACCAGCTGTCCTTTTTACAGACAGACAGACAGACACACACACACACACACACACACACACACACACACACACACACACACACACACACACATCATATCACCTGGCACACTTCAATTCTAGTGCCCACATCCTCAGCAAACACGAAAAAGTACTTATTTTAGCTCCTTGTCCCTCCTGGGTGAGTGGTAGAAGGGAACTACAGCACATTTCCAGGGAAAGTATAGGATGATCATAACCATTCCAGCTTCCCCGAGTTCCTCAGGCCGATAGCATCTTCAGTCCAAAGGTGCCTGTGAAGTGTAGTGATGGAGGGGAGCCTGAGAGCTCCTCCCCTCCTCTACCCTTACCTCCCAGAGGGCAAGAACGCAAAACCAGCCAGTGTGCTAAGGGAATAAGCATCCTTTCTGACCTGGCTGTTTCCCACAGTGGAGATGATCATAGCCTGGGGGCTCAACAGCTTTGGTATGGTTCAAAGCACCATGGTTTAATGTGTGATCTTGGATCTTGGACAGGTTTTCCGGTCTCTTCCCTCCCTGCCTGCCTCTCCTCTTCTTCAAGCAGCACTGTTACCTCCTAAGTCATACTTTACAGAAGCCATCAGACTGAATCCTCAGCAAGCCTTTATTTCACAGATAAACTGAGACATGAGAGTTTGAGAAAGTGACCTAAGGACACACAGCAAGTGCCTGGCTGATAAGCTAGGTACATCTGGCTCCCAGTCATGAACTTAACCATGAAGCTAGAACCCAGGTACTTATTGGATGCAGTCCCTGGACTAAGTTTACTATGACCCAGAGGAAAGAGATCTGGGGTTGGCAGAGTTAAGAGCCAAAGTGAGTGAAGAATTTGAACCCAGGGCTGGTGTCTCACATCTGTGCTTGCTAAATGTTCCATTGAGCCTTCATAGCTGGGCTCTGAAATGAATGAATGAGCTCACCCTGGTCCATAATCACCTTGCTAAGCCTTTGCCCACTGGCAGTCACTTCCCCACCAGAGTGACGTCCTGAAACTGTTGGCTCACCTCTGTTCCTGTGATCAATAAATTCTTTCACTCCTCTGGATTCCGCAGACTCTAGAAGAGCCAGGGGGAACCAAAATGCTGGTCCTATGTGCAGTGTGCTAGAGGGCCCAACATGAGAGGAAGCACTCTGGCTGAAGTTTACAAACAAGACAAACTGATACCATGGCCACTGTTGACATGGGTTTCTTTCTTTCAGCTTCACCTGAACAAGGGCTCACCTGCCTGTTAAACCAGGCAGAGAAATTGAAGGAACCTAGAAGAACCTATCTGAAAGCTGCAAGGGCTTGCCCTCCTGCAGACCACCCCACTTGCTTTTCCCACTTCAGGGGCCATGGCAGAGCAGGCCCGTTTATTCCTAAGCACTGAATTCACGGCCAAGAGCAGCTGGCTGGGTGGTGCCAGGCCTGAGCCTGGCGGCCTCAGCTTAATGAATAGATGTGTTCCTTTATAACAAGGGCTGGGGCGCCTGCCTGGCAAATGGATGCCATTAAGGGCTCCTGAGACACCAGCCACTCTTAAGTGGGTTAACATTCCCCCTGCAATCTTCTCTATGTAATTGATTTAAACAACACCTTCTTTTGTCCCAGTGGGGAGGGAGACGTCGACCAGTGTGACCCTGGCACACTGGCTGGGAATGACTTGAGGTGGGGTCCCGGGAGGGTGGAGGCACATTTGGCACGAACCTGAAACTGATCACCCACACTGTCTGCCCCAGATCGTCTCCATTTGCTCCAAGGCATGCCCTGCCTAGGCACCTCAGGATGCAGATACAGACCTGCTCTCACGAGGCTTAGACTTCCCTGGGTGAGAGGAGTGGGGAGAATGCATCGTTTTCAGTGTCATCCGGTTCTCTGAGTTCACATAATCTACAACACGGGGCTTGTTTTCCAATTTGATCACAGAGGCCTAAGCACCCAGAAGGTGAGTTTTCCCAAAGAAACGCACTTTTAAGTGATGGAGCCACCTCAAGCTAGTAAGGTGAGTCACACCTGTACGGCGAGTGGCAGCCAGCAGAAGGGTGCACCTCATCCCTAGGTGAATGCTCCCCATAGTAACAGCCCAACAGCCCAGCTGCCACCAGCATCATCTTTGTCGAAAGTCAGTTTAACAGCTCTCTTCAAGCAACACTCGGCCTGAAGTGCATGTTCACATGTTAAGAAATCAATCAAACCAGGCATTGCTACAGAAGCCTGCTGCATCTTCTAAAGCCTGGAGATAGGCCGGAAAGTGGGGGGGCTGCTCAACCAATCCAATGGAAGGATGCTTTTCACACCTGCTAGGGGCTGACCTTCAAGATATCTTGCTAAATGAAAGGGAAGCCGAAGAGCGCTATGTTGAGATAGAAAAAAAAAGGGAGCTGGGAATGTGGCTCAGAGGTGAGCGTTTGCTTAACATTCCACAGGGCTGGAGGCTCCAGGTGCAGCATGGCAGAAGGAAAACAGAAAGAGGTGTGTGTGCATGCTTGGGAATGTACACTGGACAGTTGTCACACCTAGTAAGGAGAATGTGACATAGGTGGGGACTCCATGCTCATGTGCGTGCTTTGGTAGCTTAGCTACAGAACATACAGTACTACTATGCATGTAATCAAGAAAGGTAATAAGCCTTCTGGGTGACAGGCACTTGAACACATGTCTCTGATGGACACCTTGGTCTCAAAGCAAACAGAAGGGCTGAGAGAGCAGCAGAAGGAGAGTGATTCCTCCTGGGTGTCCCCTGGAATGAAGTCTGTAACCCACCTGGAAGCTCACTTGTGGCCTGAATCTGACACTGTCAGCACTCTGCTCTGTAAGCAGTCGAAATCTAAGCACGCATCATACACTGTAAGAAATGGCACAGTCACGTCCAGTCAAAGACTCCAGTCTGCCCAAGGTAAGTGAGGAGGCTGCCAGGGGCCAGGCAAGGGAGGCCTCCACCTCCCATATCCATAGCAGGGAAGAACTGGGCTCTCTGCCCCAGCCCCCTGCTGCTTCCTGCAGGTCAAGTGGAGGAGCAGCACTCAGGGCCCCAGAAGTGCTACTGCCCAGACAGCTATACTGGTCTGACCTGCACCGTCTCTGAAACACTCCCAGCACCTACTCTTCAGCTTATGGAGAAATGAAGACAGACCCTAGGAAGCCAAACTAATTGCCTCAAGGCTGAGCTGGGATTTAACCACTGGCCTGCTGCTGGCTAGGGAGAAATCAAGAGCCTTGCAAGTCTATGGGCCTTGGGCTAGCGAGAGCTCCCCTCCACCCCACCCCCACACTAAGGAGCCTCTCAGCTCCTGTAGCCAGCATCTTCCAAGTGACACAACCCATAGCCCCTTCTGGTCTCTAGCAATTTTCATAATCAACTGTAATTTATGTTCAATGGCAAAGATATACAGGGCTGGACCCCCTGGGGTGCTGGGAAGGCAATTTATGCTTTCTAGCACAGTGTTTGCTCAGCATGCCAGCACCAGCTGCGTCACCTCAGAGACTATTACTCTGGTTACTGGTAATTCACACTGAGTACACTATACATTCAGGATTCAGGAGAGAGGCTGGGCTGGCTGGTTGCATTGTCTTCCTGGATCCCACATCATTCCATCCTTTGAGGACACTGAGAGGAGCTGGACAACAGAGCCATCCTGGCTAACTGGCCTGCCACCCACCACCCCACAGGTCCGGGACAACAGTTACTTTCCAGTGCATTTTTTTCTTTAGTGGCCAGTCAGCTATACACTGTTGCTCCCAGAGTGCCCTGGTGTGTGGCTGGGCTTGAACACACAGTATGAAAACTGAACCAACAGAGCCAGCACTGCCATCCTGACATGTTTTCTAAGGTGAGGGCTCCCCCAGAAGACTCGGGGTGACTATGACTCTCCTAATACTGAATGAATAGAGACTCAGACAAGTCAGAACACCTGCAGAAGACCCCAGGTCACACAGTAGTACCCAGCCACCTAAGAGCTACATCACTTCCACGGCAGGACTAGGGCTGCCTGGGTCTTCTGGCACAGGCTCACCTCTCTATGTGGGAACAAGCAAGAGTGGCCAAAGAGGAGGCATGTAGAATGGGATGGTCTTGATAGCAGTGGCAACAGCCTGGGGTCCTGGAATAAGCTGCCCTCTTCCTGAGGCGCATTTGGTACCTTCTGAGCCATGGCCAAGGATGTCTCTGCAGCATCTCAAATTATGACCAAAAGAATAATAAACAAGCCAAAAGGAAACTATGGCTGGCTGTGGCTTCAGGGTGAAACACTCATCTTGTGGGGGGG